CAAATAAAAAGCTCAGGTAAAGAAAGTCAGCGCAGCATTGCCTGAGTTACTGGGTAAGGCAATTACTCTAGATGTTCGCCAGTCAAACTAGAGGCTCCGTTAAGACACTATAACTGCAGTGCCATTCACCCAAGACACGGGTCGCGTAACACCTGGGTTACGGGAGTTGGTTCGCGACCTCCTATTTGTTATTCAGAGGCTATCCTGTCAGTGCTACAGGACATTCAGCTATCCACCACCTGCCGTCGCGCCTGGTAACCGCTCAAGCCCCAGGTTTTTTTTAAAAAATTTAATTTAAAATATTTTTTGCTTTCTAACTTAGAGGGTGAAAATGTTGAACATCCTTGAAGTATTTTTGGATACTGAAGATAAAGTATTTTGGATGCTATGAAAGAATTGATGTTGGTATCACTGGCAGTCAAAAACAAAAAGCTATCAGCTGACCTGATGGCTAGTTATTAATTAAACTACCCTTCTATTTTTCGAATTTTATGTTGTTGCATGTGGTTAAATGAAATCATTGCTTCTTTATAATCATGTTTTATAAAAAAAAAAATCCTTTTAACTGTCAATTTTTCTAAAGTATAAAAGTCAATAAAAAAAACTAAACTTATATATTTTTTTTATTTTCCTTTTGAAAAGACAGCTAGTTTTTTAAAGTAGCCATTAAAAATTTCTCACATTTTCACCAGATATTAACGTAATTTTGTTAACTGAAATACATTAATAAATTAAAAATAAATGTTCATTAAGCGTTTTATTCTTTTCTAGTGAAAGTTCATAACGAAAGATCATAAACAAATCAACCTGTGTACATACAAGATGATTCAACCAAGCAAGCTACCATGCCTGACTACAACTCTGTCTTCACTGTTTCATCTGGTAAGTAANGTATAAATAATTATTTTAAGTAAAATCACTTTTATTTGATAGGAACCTGAAACAAAAGTTGAATCTGTTGCTTTGGTTACTCATCATTATGAGCAACAAGAAGATATGGCAAGAGCTTTGGAACGAAGGATCATAAACAAATCTACCTGTGTGCATACAAGATGATTCAACCAAACAAGCTACCATGTCTGACTACAATTCTCTCTTCACTGTTTCATCTGGTAAGTAAAATTTTTGCTGATAATAAGTGTAATATTTTTAACTTATTATATTGATCTATATATAATTAAAAAATTTTAATTTTAGTGGGAAACATTTATAAATAAGAATTTTTCTAAGTACTTTTTTTCAAGAAATAAAATTATTTTTTCTTCATTAAGAGTGATATATATTGTCCTAAATTCTTATGAATCAAGAAATTGTGCAAAGTTATTTTAATTGACAATCAAATTTTTTTTATTTATGTTTCTTAATAATCCAAGAATATCAGTTATCAGTTTTATTGCTAATTCAATGGGATATATATTTCTTTAAAAATTTTACAAAATTATATAAATTTAAGATACAATTTAGTTTTCCTTACATTGCAAATAGTTAATTCATTATTAACTTCGAAGAAAAATTCAATTAACTGTACATATAAATTATAGAAATCTCAATTTTTTAGTTTTCTTTATTTGAGAATGGTTATGGTTTAATAGCTCTTAAATTCACATTTCTGATTATAATTCCCAATATTTGTGAATTCGAAAGTAACACCTAAAAGAGGAGAGATTTGCCTGAAATATATTTTTTAAATGCAAAAGTTTATTTAGGTATCAAGTAATTTTTTTAAAGAATTGATCATACAAATCTGTTTCGGAATATGAATAATGCACAATTCTTTATTTAATCCATATTCAGTTGAGAATTGTTGATACCTTTCTGAATAATAAATGTCCAATGTGTTAAATTAGGTGTAAAAATTTTTTAATTTCTACATCTCTAATACTAATACATTAATAGAAAAATAACTTAATATAGGTATGATTTTCAAAGGGGCGTAAATTATATACTAGCATTAGGGCTATTCCACGGTAACTTACGTTACATTCACATATACTTTATTGCATTGAGAACTTAGAAGCAAACAAATAATATGAATACACATATTAAAATAAAGTGATTTCTTAAAATTACAATCTAAACCAAAAGGAATCTAATTAAAATAAT